ATGGTCCCTGCTGGCCTGAAACTCTATGAATCCAGGAATGAATCTCTGAGATTGGCTTTAAAACTATAAGGTCAAAACCAATGTGTGTTGGGTTCTTTCAATTTGTCACCTGGTTTCAGGCTTTTCTCCACCGGGAGAGTTAGAAACTTGCTGTTCTTTATTAAACGGAAGCTGAGATTCTCATGTAACCACATGATTCCAGCTGCTGGGGCTTTAAGCACCAAATATTGCGAAAGCAGCTGCTGTGGGACAGGTGGTGGGGTCTAGTGGTTAAAGCAGGAAGGCTGGGAGTCAGAACTCCTTGCTTCTAGTCCCAGCTCTGGGAGAGGAGAGGTTTGTCATAGTTAAAGCAGGAGGGACTGGGAACCAGGATTCCTTTGGTCTATTCCCAGCTCTGCCACTGGCCTGCTGGGTGACCTTGGGCAAGTCACTTTCTCGCTCACTCTCTGCCTCAGTTTCCTTATCTGTAGAACAGCAGTGATGACACCGAGCTGCTTTGGAAGGCACCTGGAGATCTAGGGATGAGCAGTGCCGTGTGAGAGCTAGGAGTGCTGGCTGTTCCTGTGTCCGGGCCATGCCAGTCAGGGCCTAACCCTGCCATTCTGCAGAGGTCAGCGGGCTCTGTGCTTAGAGTAGGGTGACCAGATAGCAAATGTGAAAAATCAGGACGGGAGTGGGGAATAAATGGCACCTATAAAAGACAAAGCCTGAATATTGGGTCTGTCCCGATAAAACCAGGACACCAGGACATCTGGTCATCCTAGCTCGCAGGGCTGCGGGTCCCAGAGCTGAAACCCCACTGGATTGACTGAAACGTTTCTTTTAAAAACCCACTTTAAAGGGTATTCCACCTCAAATCCCTTTGCACTTCCCTGTGCTTAGCCCAGCTGCTCTGCAGCGCACCCAGCTCCGCTCACAACCGATGTAATGACAGGCTCCTTCCTGCTGCCAAGCTCCCGAGCTCCGTCGGCTGGCTGAGCTGCGTCTCTTTGTGCCAATAGAGAACACAGGGTCCTCGTAGCAATGACAAGGCCCTGGGCAGGACAGAGGAAGGGCTGGCATGCAGGGCAAGGAGATACTGAGCAGTGACATTCCAGAGCGGGCATGGGGAAGTTTAACTGTAGGATTGGGGGGTTGTCACGGAGTCCCTGGGCGATGCTCTGGAACTGCTCCCCATGAAGCCAGTCAGGACTCTGGGGCAGTCGCCTTTCTGTGAGCAGCCTGTCTTCAGGACACGCAGCTCACACAGCTTCCACCTTCCTGGGTCTGACCTCGGAGCATTCAGCATCCTCTGCCCCTCCGTGCGCTTCCCACAGCGAGTCCGCTCAGGCGGGGCTCCTGGGGAAGCCAGAGGGTCCTGCACCCCAACTTCGCAGTCAGACGGGACTCTCAGCCAGCCAGTAAAACAGAAGGTTTATTAGACGACAGGAACATGGTCTAAAACAGAGCTTGCAGGTGCAGAGAACGGGACCCCTCAGCTGGGTCCATTTTGGGGGGGGCAGTGAGCCAGACAACCACGTCTGCACTTCACTCCATGTCCCAGCCAGCCCCCAACCGAAAACCCCCTCCAGCCCCTCCTCCTCTGGGCTTTGTTCCTTTCCCGGGCCAGGTGGTCACCTGATTCCTTTGTTCTCCAACCCTTCAGCTCTCACCTTGCAGGGGGGGAAGGGCCCAGGCCATCAGTTGCCAGGAAACAGGGTGTCGGCCATTCTCTGTGTCCAGACTCCTGCACACACCTGCCCTCTAGGGCTCTGCAATGATCATACACCCTTACTCCACCCCCTAGATACTTAAGAACTGCCTAGGGGAAACTGAGGCACCCCCACACTATTCAGAGGAAACATTAAGAACAGTCCCACTTCGTCACAGGGGGGGTGCAGGGTCATTTTGGGGGGCCAGCATTAGGGGGTGCAGGGCTGTCTTGGGTTGCAGGATTGGGGCTGTGTTTTACTGGATGCAGGGCTGGGGTCAGGTTTGTTGGGGAAAATCTACCTCCTCACAAAAAGCCCTGGGAGGATCCCTTTAAGAGAAGCCACTGAACTGGTTGGAGCGTGTTCCACTGCCCTCTACAGGATGCAATCAGAACTGCTCGGTGGTGTGTCAGAGACCCTACACAGCACACAGTAAATGGGGATTCTCCTTTAGCTCAGGTGGGAGGGGCTGGCGTTCTGTGGAGAGGAAGATCTGAGTTCCAGCCCTGGAGTCACTGCAAAATTCCTAACATCTGCAGCATGCAGCGGTTTCAAGCCCAGCGCTCCCTAGAGGCTGGGGGGTTGTTAGAGCCTCCATGGCACCCTAAACATCAATTAAACCTCAGCATTTCTGTGGGGTAGGTGAGCCCTGCACCTAATTCACAGCTGAGGAAACTGAGGCATGGAAAGGAGAAGTGAATTGACCAAGGTCACATAGTGAGTCAGTGTCAGGCCTGGAAATAGAGGCCAGGAATCCCAAATCCCTTTCCTTCCCCTCCAACTAATGGACCAAACTTTCTCCAACAGCTGGGTCTAGAACTCAGGAGTTCTGACACTTCCCCCCTAACCCCGGTCTAGACCAACGGCAGAGCTGCTCTTGCTGGAGTCCATTCTATTATTTGCGTAACAGCACCCGAGGCACAGCTAGTGTCTGGATTTGTCAAAAGGGAACAAAGGGAATTTAAGTAAATGTAGCCAATTCCAATATGGCACCAGACAACCAGACTTAATTACTTGTATTACAATAGCGTCTAGAAGCTCCAACCAAGATCAGGGCCCCTTGTGCCAGGTGCTGCCAGACACACAGTGAGAGACAGGCCCTGCCACAAAGAGCTCACAGCCTAAATAGACAAAGGGTGGGAGGGGAAACTGAGGCACAGAGAGGGGACGTGACTTGCCCCAGGTCACACAGCAGCTGGGCCTCCTGATTCCTAGCCCAGTGCCCTACCCACTAGACCACACTGTCTCCCAACAGCACCAGCGGAACAGAGAGCAGGGTGAATAAGGGATGTAAATGAGGAGTTAGGGGGCAGAGATGGGGGGGACCTAGGGCTGGAATAGCAGGAGAGCTGTGGGTTGGGATTATGGGGCATCGGCAGAGCTGCCTGCCAGGCCCAGGACAGGGCTGAGGCTCACTTGAAACAAGGAAAGCTGCAAACCCGTTGCCTCCGTGCCTCAGAGAGGCCCTTCCATGGCACCCGCCTCATGCTGATCACGTCTCCCGAGCCACAGCTGCGGCTCTGATGAAAGTTTTTGAAAGGCCGGCTAATTAGCGGCGTGCTAGCCAGGCATGGCCCTTGCTCCCAGCCAGGCTGGAACAGCCCCCGTTGCTAGGCTGTCAGCTCCCCGCAGCCTGCCCGCTCCGCACGGGAACGTCCTTCCACATAGCAACTCCCAAAGGGCTAGGGAGCCCCAGAAGCAAAAATACATGACGTGGGCCCCTCAGCTGCCTGGGCCCAGATCCCGACCCACTATGCAGGGGCTCTGGGCCTCTTAAAGGGGGACGATGGCCCCTCCAGAGAGCATGTATCAGGAGGGAACAGGAAAGCTGAATGTAGGCTCTTTGGGTTGAGTCAGGCTGGTAATTCAGAACAGAGCATAGCTCTGCTGCTGTCTCTTGAGCCCAGCCTGCACCCTCTGATCCCTGCTATCCTAGTCCTGGGGTCCCCCTCACAGATCTGATGATGCCTCTCTATCCTGACCCCCAGCCACCTGGGATCCCCCACCCGCCAGCTCTGCTGGTGCTCCTCAGTGCCAACTCACATCCTCCCCTGCCATTCCAGCGCTGACCAGGCTGAGACCCCCGCACTCATTCCACCACCAACCCAGTCTGCGGGGTGGGCGGGCAGCCCCTGTCGTTCCATGGCCCAGCCTTCAGAACAAAGCAACCCGAAAGGAAAATGCCCAGGGGAATCAGATCTCGAGTCCTTCAGCAACCTGCTCTACCCACCACGGCAGGCGGGGCGCAGCTGGGGGCTCATTGGGCCGGGCAAAGACGGAATCCCGCTTCTGATCCGTGGTGACAATGAGACCGGGGCAGCTCCTCAGCTGGTGCGAATCGGCTCAGGCTGCCCTGGAGCTGGGCTGACGGACGCCAGCTGGGGATGTGGCCCGATCTCTCCCCAGCCTGGCTGGCACGGCACCTCCTGAGCTTGCAGCTGATTACGGAGACATTTGTCGGTGCAAAGTGCAAGGCAAGCGTCCAGAGCCACCAGAGCCAACGCAGAGACAGAAATGCCCTGTAAACCCTGTGCCAGGACGGCCAGTCGGCACAGCCCAAGCATGGGGAGAAAACTCACTACAGGATTGGGGGAGGGGAGAGATTTTAAACCCATTCAGGAAATTTGGCACATTGAGTGGAGTGTGGAGAATTCAGAGCTGCTCCTACACGTACCTGTTCCCCCCGGGGTAGAATCCACCCTCAGCCCTGCTGCTGGCATGTTTCATGCCCATCTGGGTGCCACGCCTGCTCGTGCTGGCAAGTAGAACACACCTGCCCTAGCTTCAGGACATGCCAGTTGCCCCGTCACTGCAGGTAAAGCCCTGTTGCTTGCCCCATTTCAATACCGTGCCAACCAACTAATGCACCAGGGGATAATTTCAGGGGACAGGGCTGCATGGGCATGGGAAAAGCCCTGGATCATGGATTTAAACGCAACGCTTACAAGAGAGGCCAAACAGGGCAGCATCCAAATGGCATCTGCATTTTCCACCCACAATCGGATGCACTTTTCTTGATTGTCGGGACAATTAGATGCCTCCAATCCAACCCACCCTCAAACTCCAGCCCAGCCCAGGCCACCTGCTGTCGCCTAATCTGCAAACCCTGCCCCAAACCCAATCTTAGGGGAGAGATTTTCCTTCTGCCTTTGCCCAGCCAGCCAGAAACCATCTTCTGAATGCACAGCAAGCAGAAGAGCTTGGGGGTAGATGCCACTTACAAGCCCCCTCCCTCCGCACAGATCCCCGTAAAACGCTACCAGCGACAAAGGCATTCCTCTAAGCCCAATATTCCACCCGCCCGCTTACCTGCCAGCCACGGAGCTCAGTTCCGGGCCTTTGCTTTGAGCAAGGGGCCAAACCGCTTCCTGCTCGATGCCCAAAACGGGCCGAGGAGCATGCGGGGCTCACTTGCAATCTTGGCTGTGGGTCTCGTCAGGTGAGCGGCCAAGGGAAGACGTTCAAAAGTCGATTGGGTCGGAGCCGCTTTCAAGCCAGGGGTGGCTCAAAAACCCCGCTGCAGGTTTAGCGTCAGGATCCCGTTCGGAGCTGAAAGGGCGTGGGATCTTTCGGGTGAAGCGTGGGGATGCCCCCCAGTTCCCTCCCCGAAATGGAGGGCTTTCTCTGCTCTGGATGGTGACCTTGAGGCCTCCCCCAAATCCAGCCGGGCACGCTAGAGTGGGGTGGGGGAAGAGGTTATTTTTAGAAGAAGGAGTCACTCTCATCGCATCCTTATTGTTATTGGCTCGGGCCGACTGTTTCTGTGACCGGCTGCCAAATTCCGGCCTCGCCCCCAGCCCTGCGGCTCAGAGAGCGAGTGGCTTCGGGGGGAGAGCGGGGGCTGCACACAGCACAGAGGTGGAGGGGGCAGCAAATCCCTGTGTTTTGCAAACGGAGCAGAGCTGGAAGGGGCCTCTCTGTTCCCAGCTCCTGCAGGATGGTGCCACCCAGCCGGCCGGCTGGCTTTGAGTAGCCCAGAGCGTGGCCCCAGAGAGAGGGTTCTGCAGCCCGGCCCAGCCGATCTCCTGGGCTGGGTGTTTTGCCTGCACATCCCCTTCAAGTGCATCCCATGTGCCCCCACCACCGAAGACCACCACTCCCCCTTGGCGCTGACCCTTGTCTGACCATTCCCATCTCCTCCCCCACAGGGCCCACTCAGGCAAGCTGGACCTGTGCAGGTGTTCTATACCTTGACCTCCCCCCAGGTCAGCCCCTCCACCATATTTCTTGCCCTTCTCAGAACTCCCTCCGGTTTGTCAATATCCTTCTGGTCTCCAGGGGGCTGGGAGCATCCCAGGGCAGCCTGGGCCGAGCCACAGAGGGTGAAAGTCATTCTCACTTCCCTCCCCAAGAGACAACTGTTGGGCTGGGTGGGGAGCCAGACCCTATCCGTCCATGGGAGCCCCCATGGCCACACACCAGCCCGTTGGGGCCTCTACGGAACCGCAGCCCTTCCTAAGCAGGAGGGGATTGCAGAAAACTAGAGACACCGAGGCACGTCTACACTACAGACTTTGGCCAGCCATAGCTCGGTTGGTCAGGGTGCGTCTGTGACTGACAGAGCTGGGCCAGCAGGAGCCCCTAGTACAGACACAAGCTCCACCAGCAAAAGTGTGCTTCATGGGGCCTGGAATAAGCTATCCTGGCAAGAAGCTACGTCCACACTAGGAGTGCGTTTGCTAACCTAGCGTACTGGTATGGCTATGCCGGCAAAGCCTTCCAAGTGTAGCCCTGGCCAAAGATTTTGGCTTCTACACAACTCGTGTTCCAGCTTCAACTGCCTTTGTTTACCAGAGCTTGCCTAGAACTCGGTACGGCATGCAGACACCTTTAGTGGCTGAATAATGAACTGCAAGCACCTATCATTACAGCCAACCCCTCCCCGCCCCCCCAGGTCTGGTGTACTCTGCCCACATTATCCCTCCATCTGCTGCAGTTAGCGTTATTAGGGCCTAGTAGGCAGGAAATCAGATTCCTGTCTCTGTCACTGACTCACTGCTTGATCTTCGGCAAGTCACTGCCCCGTGCCTCAGTTTCCCCGTGTGGAAAATGGGGATGATTTTACTTCCCTAAGGGGATATTACTTTGTCAACAACAGAAGAGCTCTCCTGGGCCCTCCGATGAAAGGTTGCGATGACACACATCTTATTGTTATTCTGCTTACACATGCACAATCACACACACGCTCGGAATTTGTACCTGTATCTGCAGCCGGGGCATCTATTGTCTGGATCTATATTTAGATGGTTGCTGGCTTTAGGTCCACCTTAGGCTGGGCAAATCCACATCTGCAGGAAGGCCAGGTCCCTTTTAACGTTTCAGCCTTTGAAGTCCCACCAGCCATACCTCCTCTCTCCTCTCAGCTTTCCGTCCTCACTTTAGCATGTGATCCACTTTTTCATTTGCCCAAGGCAAAGTCATTTAATCTGCTTTTTGTGATCTTGTCGCAGATCAAATCCCAGTGTTAGCTGAACGCCTGAAATTTAACTGTTTAGCGACAAGGCCCTGCTAGCAAGCTGTTCCCCAAAGAACTATTGTCCTCTGTTTGAGTCATTGGCTGCAGAATTAACACCAGCCGGTTTTATTCCTGGCTGCAGTAGGAATTAATATCAGCAATGGATTTACTCCTCCAGTCCACCCAGCCTAGCCAGAACTGGTGCAGAAGTCCATCTGCCCTTTGGCTGTGTGGCAATGCAATAGCAAGCCAGGTTACCGAAATACGATTTAACTCTTCCAGGGTGTCTGCCCCATTCAAACCGTTGGGCTCCACCCTGTGTCACTCTTAGCCCAGAGAGCCCTGGTGAAGCTGGGGAAGTTAAAAGGCTGGAGGTCAGACTAGATGACAAATGGCCTTGGAGCCTAGGAATCTCTGGACCCCATTCACCCTGCATTGGGCCTTTATTTATTTAGCAGAAAATTAAAAAGGGATCCACTGTGCAGAGGGGCCATGCTCATCTGTCTCGAGTCACTGACCCCAGCCCCGCATCATCCGGGCGCCCCTGCACGGGGCAGAGGCAAGGACCCAGGACTGTCTCCTCACAAGCCTTCAGCTGGAACACCCGAGCAGAACAGGAGCAGCTGCTGCTCTTGGAGGGCGGGGTAGGGCCGGGAAAGCTCCTGTGAATCGTGAATGTATCAAGTCCCCGCAGCGGCCCAAGAGTGTCTCTCTCTCCGACTCATCCAGCCCTGCTTAGAAAAAGGCTCTCAGAGAGAGACAAAGAACTGTCCTCAGCTCGGCTGCTCCTCCAGCCATCTCTAATTTGCTCTTAATGCCAGTTCCATTGACCTGTCAGGGGATTGGCTCCATCCACCCACCCAGCCCCTTCGCATTCATTGTTTGCAATTAACTGTATTCTTTTTGCTCTCAGAGGCCACCACAGAGCTGCGGCCCCGTCACGCTGCAGAGACACAACGAGAGTCGGGCCCTGCCCCAAACAGCTTCCAGGCAAAACAGTCAAAGGATGGGAGGGGAAACTGAGGCACGGAGAGGGGACGGGACTGGCTCAGGTGGATGGCAAAGCCAGGAACGAAGCCGACAGCATCTGTGCTCCAGCAGCGGTGACAGCAGGGACCACATGCACCATGGACCAGCTCCCCGGCAATTCCCAGGGGGTGCACGGCCCCGCATAAGGATTGCCATGGGGGAATAGCGCCCCAGCTCCCTGGGCTAGAGGCCAGTCGCAGCTCACAGAGCCCTTCCCTCCTTTCGTGTCATTTACCCTTTGTACTGAGATTCAGCCTCCTAATAAACAGTCAGTACCCGGCCCCTGAGCCAGGCGCCCTTGGGCGCAGGCAGCTCCCGAGAGACTGCTGCGGCTGATCCCGAGGGTGATCCGGGCCCTGGAGGGCTCCAGAATACTGCACGGCCAGGGGGCACAAAGGCCCAGACCCACCCCCCAAGTGCAGAGACGAGGTCTCAAGCTCCCAGCCCCTCATTTCTGTGTATCCAGCGTGAGCCCCCCCTCCGAGACCCAACAATCCCCCCTCCACACACACACTTCCTGCACCCCTCCTGCGCCCTGGGCATGCTGGTCGGCTCCCACCCACTGCACCCCAGCTCCCCTGGGAAAGAAAGGACCCCACCCTCCCCCCATGCCTTTGTCCTGCCTCCCAGCCCCCAGCTGCAGGGAATGCGTGCGTGGGGGGGGGGGGGCTATTTTCTCTCCCTCTCCTCGTCATTCCGAGCACGGCTCCCTGCATTCCAGGAACGCCCCCCCCAGGCACCCCCGCCCCCAGGCTCCGTGACATCAGCAGCCGCCTGCGCGCCGCACGGGGAAGCCCGGGCGAGGATTCCTGGCAGCCCCGGCGCCTGACGGCCGGCGAGCCTGGCGCGAGCCTGGCGCTCCCCGGGCGCCCCCGCCCCCGCGCTGGCTCCTGGCCCGCCGCAGCAGAGATGCCCTGTTGCCATGGCAGCCGGCAGACCCCCCCCCCCCCGGAGGAAAGGCCGCGAGAGGCCGGACGATCAATAATTCAGCCCCGGAGCCCCGCGCTCGGCTCCGGTCCGGCAGGCGGGATTTCCCCCTCCCCAAATAAACCAGGCAGGGGGGCATCCCCAGCGTGGAGGGCTTCCCCAGGACACGAAATGAGAGCGGGGGGGGCGGAGTTTACTGCGGGGGGGTTGGAAAGGACGGCATGGCAACGCTGCTAAGGAGCGGGGGGGGGGGGGGATATTCCAAGCCGTGGACCGGAGCGAGACTCGATTCTGCGGTGCCAGCGGGGGGAGATGGGGGGGTCTCACTGCAGGAGGCGAAGGGGCGCGGGGGGGGTGCTACGGGAGGGGGGATGCTGGGTTGGATGGGCCTGCTGCCCCGCGGGCCCCCCCTCCATCTCAGCCCCTCGCGCCCCTGCCTCTCCCCCCATCCTGCCTGGGGGGCGGGGGAGCTTGGGGAGAGCCAGAGGAGACCTACGCTCTCCCCCTACCCCCACACTTCTGGGCGGAGGAGAGGGGGCGACGCCCAAAGCGGGGCGCAGTCCCAGGATGGGCTGCTGCCCTGGCCAAAGGGCAAATGCCGGATAATGAGCAAGAGCGGGAGGGAGGAGCTGAGGGGGTGAATGGAGATATGGGAGGAGCCAAGGAAATCCCTCCTGCCCCCCCAAAAAATCCTCCCCATTCCCAGGGGCAGTGGGGAGCTGCTTTGCACACCCCACAAAGCCCAAGTAGCATGTGAGCACAGCAGGCTGGGTCCCCACCTAGTGGCGGGATAACAACCTACTACTGCTACCAGCCAAGGGAGCTACTCCCACAGCTAAGGGCAGTAGATCATGGTGTCGAATGCCACTGAGGACAGCAGCAAAGCAAAACTTCTGAGCAACTGCCAGCTACGCCCCAGCTCCTGAAGTGTGGGAGCAGCAGGAAGGACAGAGAAGAGTGAAATCTGGAAGCAACCGTTGGAAGAAAAGCATCTCCCCTGGAGATGTTAAGCAAGGCAGTGAGGCTTAGTGGCTGGGGCACTGGACAGGGGAATGGGGAGAAGAGACCTGAGTTCTATTCCTGGCACTGCCATTGCCTGCTGGGTAACATGGGGCAAGTCACTTCCTCACTCTGTGCCTCAGTTTCCCCTCCCACCCTTCATCTATTCAGACTGTGAGCTCTTTGGGCAGGGCCTGTCTCTTGCTGTGTCTCTCAGCAGCGCCCTGGGACCCTCCAGATGCTGCTGTGATACAAGTA